AATCACTTGTCTTTAGGCAACCATCAATCCTAACCCAGTCTTCATCTGTCATTAAGGACATCTAAAATCATTGCCTTACTTGGGCACACCATCATTTTTATGCTGATGAGAAAGTCTCCATAGCACAGCAAATTCTTCAGTATCCCCAGCCAAAGTCTCCCCTGACAACATAATCTTTTCACACAAAGCAGAGAGCTACTTATGAAATAAATCACCATGTCTTGTTTTCATTTCAGGAGTATATAAAAGACCCTTCAATGCCCTGATGAAATTGTGCATCAGAGCATGTTGTTTGGCTGTTAGCTCTACAGTTAATGTGGTTTTTAACACAGCTTGCAACCCCAAATCCCAATTGTTCTTGCCTATTCCACCTTTACTCAACAGGTTACACTGGTGAGCTAGCAGTTCTACAATGTGGCCGTGAACACTAAAAATATCAGTTAACCACATTTTTTCCTACCCTGAGAATGTCTGTTTTCTCTTGCACCTTGCCCAGATGCAGTCTGTTGTCAAAACGGAAAATGGTGCCTCTTCCCATCTGTGGTATCCTATCTGTGATATTGGTTCAGCTTGATCATAATGTCTTTTTATGGCTGTTGAGCTCCTTTTCCATAGCATTACCTTAGTACTTCCCAGCTCTTACACCTGCTCTCCAAGCTATGAAATCTATACCTCCTCTGCCAGAGGACCTAGGGCTTCCTGTCCTTGCTCCTGTCCCAAGAGAACGTGGCCCAAACATACAGAAAATTCACATCTAAACATCCCTCTCAGTCTCACACATCTACTGGAAGATTTTCAGTATGGTGACTGGGCTTCCCTAAAGTCGTCTGTAGTCCATCCAGTTCTCCACGCTGTCTTACTATCACTCCCAGCATTAATCACCACGTGTAGCAGCTTGCCAGATGTTTCCAGGAGCCTGTCCATGCATCAGCCAGGTGCATTTCCAAGGAGACAGCACTCCACTGTGTTCTGCATTAATTCTGACCTCTCCTCTCGAAAGGAGGTTTCTTACCTGTAACCAGAGTATATTTGACATACTTGATCATTACGCGCAAGTTCTGGGACTGTGCGCCACAGGTACCTGAGACAGCAACAGCCACAAACAAACAAAGAGTATGGCCTCTTCAGAACAAATGAAGCTTTTGGAGCAGAGGTACAAGGCTTAAGAAAGCAAATCTTCCAGCTCAAATCTAGAAACAAGAACAACTTTCTATGCAGCTTTGATCTCTCCTACCTCTTGGCTAAGAAACAAGATAAACAGAATAATAAACAAATTATCAGGGAGACAAAAGTTGCTCCAGCAAAGGCTGTCAGCATCACATTTAGGTCCATCTAAGGAATCCTGAAATGGGGAAAAGCTAACTCATACAAAGCCAAGTCATGTGGGACAGCTGACAAAGTGCCTTCAGCAGAAGGGTGCCGGGTGGAAGATACAGGACCTTAACTGAACAGACAGACAAGTCAGATTTTTGGTTCTGAGATAAACGATCTAAAATAGATGGGATCCAGGAATAAATGAAGGGAGGGAGTAGGCTTGCTTAACACAGGAAAGATTATCTGGGCTGCTTAGGGGTTAGGTTGACTGAACCCTCTCTAGAGCCAGTTAGAACATCCCACATCCATAGGGTGAGGTGCAAGGAGGGTGATGCTCCCCACCTTCTCTATGGGAAAATCTGGTAATCATCATCAAGAAACTTATTTGGCCTGGTCTCAGAGCTACCTTGCCAGACAGGGTCTCTGAGGATGAGAGCTCACTTTTCAGATGAGTCCTAGGGAACTTTGCTAGGGAAGGGGCAGGGGAGGCCACTCTGCATGCCACAGGATCAGAAACTCATTCAGCAGGGAGCCAGGGCTCGCTTCTGCAAAATGCCTGGCACCGTCTGTTGAAGTCCCTTGCTAAGAGGCTGATCTCAGCACAGGGAGCATGAAGCACAGCAGCCATGGCAGAGAACTGCATCTCTCATCGCAGCTCAAAGGCTGATGTGTCCCTCAGCGCCTCATGGAGGCAGGATGCTCACAAGTGGGTCTGTCCCAGCTCAGGCACAGCTCTTGCCTCAAGGGAGTGTTTTTGTGCTGCTCCCACTGCTGACATAAAAGTTGCGCCTGTCCTTACCTAAACACAATAGTCCAAATGTTGGGAAGGGAGAAGCCAGAGCAATCACTAACACATTTCCAGACTGGCCGAGCAAGTCTCTGCAAACATAGTCTTCTGTAGGGCAGGGAAGCTGAACCAGCGTGCCTAAATATACAATGGGAAGACCTCACTGGCAATCCAGAGATATGATCCTAAAAGGACTTGGACAAATGCTCATGGAGGTCACCAGAGAGCAGCCACAGTCCCGAGATGGATGCCTACACAGGGACCGCCCAGATGCATCCTCCCATGGAACCCCATTCAGTAAAACACATCCGTGCTTGGACTGTACTTGGGGAACAGAGATTCACATTAATGCATAGACACCGAGACAGGGCTTTGAGCCCTGCATGCCAAGGTCTGCTCTGGTGCACCAGGGGCCACACTAGACTCAGCTGCAACATGCTCACGGGTGAAAACGGTCAGCTGGAAAGAGTAACTGACCTGCTTCTCCAAAGTTCATTTCATCAATTCATCATCTTGGTCAAGAATAGGAAAAGGCCTACTCCATCCATGGCCAAGCTGCCCCTGCAACCAAGGCTTTCAGAAAGTTTTGGCCAAAGAAAGATTTTTGAATGGGCTGGGGTCTAAGGGTAAACGAGATGATATAATTATTCTCTGTGAGATGAATACAGACCAGTAGGTGTTCATAAAGATCAAGCATCCAAGACCTGGGTCTTTGCTAGATGATTTCTTCTGATATTGCTTCCTGAGCAAGCGCTGCTGAGAGGTGTCCCAGAAAAGGGATGAGGTTAGTGACATGAGAAGCAACATGCTGCTGAGCAGTTCCTAGACACCACAGTTCCCAGCAGGGTTCATGGTGGAGAAAAGCAGGCTAGATACTCCCCAAAGAATAGAGAGGAGCCCACAGAGAGAGTTAAATAGATGGAAGGTCCATATCTCATACCCAACATCAAAGATGTGGGGTCACCACTGATGGGACAGGTAGATGCAGAGGAAATGGTCCAGTTAACGCTGGAGGCCTTGGGCTGTGCTTCCCATGCTGAGAAACTGCTGAGGCAAAGGATCAGTGTTGTGTGTCCTGCCAGCGAGATCTCAGGGGCTGTCACACAGGTGGAGGAACGGAGCCTATTGCTGGTGATACAATTCACCAGAGAACAGCATCTCCCACACACGGTTGGGGGAGATCTCACTTTCACTGCAAATGAAGTTCTGACAAACAGTGTGGCACTGGGGTCCCCACATACACAGGCATCTGTCAGCACCAGCTGCTCCTCTGAGCAATGACTGCTCGAGGCAGAGATGTTGGTCCTTCTGTGCTTCACGCTTGAAATCCCTCAGAGTACACACTCTGCAGTCCTGTGGGTTTCTTAAGCAGTACCAAGAGGCCACAGTATGCACGTCATGGATTATGCACGGGTGAAGTCAGACTTAGCCAGCCACTCAAAGATCTCCGCAGCAGAGAAAGAGCAGAAAACACTGCAAAGACACGTACGGGAAAGGGGATTTGCATGAACCAAAAGAGCCTCCAGGCAGGATAGAAAGCGATCCCTGATTCACTGCATGTAAGGCATCATCACTTGAAAGAAAAAGCCCAGATTAGAACATTTCCTCTGGCTTTAGCTCTTTTAGGAAGAAAAATAAAAAGGGAAGAGGGAAAGGAATGGAAACAGTCGGGCAAGGCGGCACAGAGGTAAGGCCCATGGCAAAGGCCCTGTCTCAGAGCAGGCACTGAGGCACACACCTCCCCTCAGCCACGCGGAGACAGGGTGTGGGGAGCACACCGCTGCTGCCACCCAGCACCCTGCTGCTCCCGTGAAATGCTCTCCTGGCTTCCCCATGAGAGGCAAAGATGGCAATCGCCAAAGTCAGAGCCCAGCCTCAGCAGACCATCAGCTGAGGATCTGTCATTTCCCGGTGCCAGCAGCAGTGCCCCAGCCGCGCCCCGGCCTGGAGGTTTACTCGGCTGCTAACTTGTCCTGCTGTTTGCAGGGCCTCGCCTCCCCGCTGGCTCTAACCAGCCAGCTTAGCCCACACAAAATGCCAACACGTGCCTTAACATGTCTTGCAGGCACAGGACCTCACCCTGCCCAAACACCGACCCTCTGCACTGTGGCATGGGGATGTGTCAGTGCTTGCAGCTCAAGTGCATGGCAGCATTAGCTACCCAAGCCAAACCCACAGAGATAAACTTTTGCATCTCTCAGCCCGGACTTTATCTACCTTACCTACTCTTAGGGATGATCCAAAAACTCTACTGCCATCTACATCCTCTTCCCTTCAGGACCTTTTGTGAGAAGCGTTTTTCTCTGGAGCTTCACCTGCTTTGGCTGTGCAGCCTGGGTCCACTGCTCAGCTGATGGCCCTGCAAAACAACGCTTCTCAGCAGGCTGCTCACTCCCTCTCGCCACCTTGCCGGGCCCTAGCCTCCCGTCACCAGAGAAGCACGTGCAACGGCGAGCCAGGCAAATGTTACAAGAGATGGTGGGACAGGGAAATCCCCACTGTGGTTACACCAAGGTTGGACGTGGGACCGATGGCAGGTGAGAAGATGGTCTGGGATGCCCTGGTGTCGCAGAGGACACCAGGCACTGGGAGAGGAAGGTCTACAAGTCGCAAGCCATGTTTGGCTTTGTTTCCAATCCCTCAGCCTCAGCATCAATGATGCTCCAGGTTAAGAATAAGGCAGCCCACGCAGCACCAGTGCTACACACGGCCCGTCGAGGGCCAGTGGCTCCCAGAACAGGGATCTTGCCACTGTCCCATCTGGAACACCCAAGGGATAGGAGTGTCCCATGGGAGGCTCCCACTGATGTGGTCTTGGGGGCCCAGTGGAGGACACCCCCCACCTCAAGCTGCATGGCGCCCGCGGCAGCACAGGGAGAGCCCACACCCGGCGAAGCTGTAGAAAAGGAAACTGTCCCATTTAATGACCCCTCGCCCCCGTAACACAGACGCAAGTGCACCGCTGACGTGCAGCAAAGCAAAGTGCCCGGTGAGCAAGACTTGGCCCCCTCCCCAGAGGAGGCAGGGGTGCCTGGCGTGGCACGGGGACCAGCCGGGCACCCGGCCAGCAGCAAGGACAGAGAGCGCCCCGGGCTCAGTCCAGTTGGCACCAGTGTCAGGTCCAGTTTGCAGGGAGGTATGGCTCTCGTTCAGCTCCGTGTGGTGCAGGGAGGGCAGGGGGCTTGTCAAGCGTACCAGGACGGAGGACGGACGAGGTGGGTCTGAGGGGTCCAGGGGACAGGTCTTGGAAAATGCTGCTGTGGCAGGTTTGGAGCCTCCCTGCCCAAACCGTGATTTAACCAAAGCAGGGGAAGGGAATAGAGAAGAGGCTGGAGGCTGAGCAGCCCAGGTGAGGGCGCTCAGGTCTATCTAACTATTCCCATTTGCAAGATATCCAGTGGCGGGGGTGTGTGGGATCTGCCAAGCACCCCAAAACAGGAGTGAGCCTGGGCAACAGATGTTTACCAGCAGCTCCACATCCCTGAAAGTCTCTCTCAGGCGCAGCTCAGGCACCCCCGTGCCAGGAAGGGGGTCCGAAGGAGCAGGGCCTCCCCTCATTATCTGATGGAAGCATCGCTGGGGGGGTCACGGTCAGACTCCTCACTCTCCTCATTCGGGGCCGACTCACTGTTGGAGGATGGGGTGAAGGCAGAAGACTTTCTGTGGAGAAGAGTAAGGGGCAGCAGTCACAGTACCACCCAGGTGGAGGGAAAGGACCCAGTTCAGTGTGGGTAGGGGGCATCAGAGCAAGGAGGAGAGAAGCTGAAGTGCCCCTCTTGCTCCCCTGGGGTATGTGCGAGTCTGTGGGAATCCTTGAGTGCTGGGGAGGGTCTCCCAGAGGACACCAGCTAAGACGTCCAGAGCATGGAGCATGGCTGGGGGAGATGCTGGAGGAGCTTGCCTAGAGCAGAACCCTGCCAAGCCATGGGAGGCTAGGGGTCAGTGAAAGCCCATCACAGAGGTCCCCAGCCTGGAGCCACCCTGGCTCCACACACCTAGTGGGGACCTATACAATGTCCCTGCACAACGGCAGCTCCTTTCTCCATCAGGGTTGTCCAGTTTCACCTGTCAAAACTGACTCCCTGTGCCTCAGCCCACCTTCTGTAGAGGTGGCACCACAATCCATGTGGAGGCTGGTCACCAGGAGTCCAACAGTCTTTGTGAACTGCCCTCTCTCCGTGCCACACCAGGGCAGGGGCGGGGTAATACCCTGTGCTTCAGCTCCCACTCACCACCACCCTGGCTCCAGTCCTTGCCCAGAGCATGGGTATCCCAGCCCTCCAGTGGAAGCTCACCTGTCCCCAGACTGAGTGATGAGCCGTCGGCAAGTCTCCATCTGTACGTCCAAGCCTCGCTTCATGCTGCACATTTCCATGTACTCATGCAGGTGCCGATTCATGTCGTTCTTGGCCGTGGCCAGCTCCAGCTGCACAAGGGAAATGGTGCAGATATAAGGCCAGACCTGAGACTGTTACCCCCCCGTTACCAACTACCTGCTCCAGCATGGTGTCTCCCTCCCCCTAGGACCTACCCCCCCATTTCACCCCTTCTGTGCCATGTCCTCCCCACTCCCACCTCTATTTGGTCAATGGTTTCCTGGTACTCCTTCTCACGGCTCTTGAACAGCGATTCTGTGTCCTTGATCACCTTCTCCAGGCTGTCGTCCTGCTGTTGGGGAGAGCAGATGGCATGTTTAGAGATGGGGAGGCAACCAATATGAGGAACCAAAGGCAAGAGAGACAGAAATCAGAGGAATAATTGGCAGCACTGGGAAAAGAGGAAGAAACATAACCAGTATAGTATAAATAAGGCATGAGTCAGTCCTGCCAACACTGGGTAGAGATACCCAGGACTCGCCATATCGGGCAGTGAGCACCTCAGCCCAGAACAAGCCCAGCAATGAACACAAGCTTTGGAGAGCACAGACTGTCCCCAAGCACAACACATCCCTAGGGGGCTGCCAAGGGCTGAAGGTGCCAGATGGTGATGGCTTTCAACAGACTTTGAGGCCTGTTTGGACAATGTTGCTGCACAGCAGGCAGGTGGGCTGGAGAGCCCGAGGAAGGGACCACCAGAGACCAACCCAGCCAGAGGAGGTCTTCTCTTCTGGGAGGGCTGTGCCTCTCCCCATGCCTGTGGACCATGTCCTCAGCACATCTTTCAAGCTACAGGCCCCCGGTCTGTCTAACAAAGAGACCTTCACAAGGATTCGGTAACATATTCACGGAGAGAAGACAGGGTGTAGAGGGGAAGCATATGTACAGGCCTGCAAGGCACGGAGGGGATGAAGTCTGGTCTTTGAGGGAACATCCTCCCAGGTTCAGGCAGGACCGAGTGTCCCAACACAGGGCTGGATCCCCAAGGGGACCTGACACCACTGTTACCTCCCCCTGCACCTCTGCAGCTGCAATGGCGTATCCAGAGAAGTCCTCCCAGAGAAGCAACGTTTCTTCTGTCTCCTCCCACGTGAGGCTGTCACAGTCATCCTCAAAGTCATATTCCCTCCTGGGGACAAGGGAACAGCACATCAACACTCAG